TTTCCGCATATCTCGCAACTCACTCAGGGACAGGGATCGGGTGATCACTTCTGGTTCCGGCTCTTCTTCTTCTCGTGATGGCCCCGGTTCATCATCATCTCTCACGATGCGAACCGATTTCTTTGCGTATTTCTTTTTGTGTATAGGGGCGACTGATACTGGTATGGGTTGATCTTTTGGCTTGGCTACAGTGCCTATTGCGGGGGCTTGGGTAGCTGTAGTGCTTGTTGCAGGGGGTTTGGGTATCCGCAGTGCCTATGGGTCTGCTCTGTCCCTCTCCCCCTGAATGGTGCTGTCTACTGTCAAGCAGTGTTTGATAGATTGTGGCCAGGGCCCAGCACAGCGCAGTAAGTTGTGTCTCCTTAGAATCCCCACAGCATTTTTCTTTCAAATAGTCTACCATTTTATCAGGGTCTTGCAGTGGTTCGGCAGTGAAGCTCCAAACCGTTGGGAGTGAGAATGTGTCTAGATATCCGCCCACACTCCTCCACATGCCATGCAAGCCCTGACTATTCAGCCTTGGGGAAGATCCCTGGGTAGTATTCTTAAAACAATTTTTGCTGATTCTGAACAAGACTTGGACAACATGCAGGAGACCTAGCAATAGGAATATACTGGCCTGAACATTCCAAAGGTATTCAAAATTCTGAAAAATTTTCTTATCCAACAAAAGGGAAAAGGGGAGGTGAAAGAGTGGGAGAAGGTATCCCCCCTATCTTCCCCATAGATGGGGTGCAATTATTAATGAATTCTGAAAGATGTTGACGGACGTATGGGCATGACAGAAATGCTACATACAAGTACCAGCTCAGACTCATGACTGTCAATGATATTTTATCATAAGTCGTTATCACACAATACAACAATATGAGAACACAAACCCCTCTCCCAGAGGTGATAAACAGCACCGCAGGTATTACATAAACATGGGTTTACAAACCAGAGCCATGTGACCAAATAGAACATCATTATGATCAGCGACTTTTTAAATAACATTATAAATGCTTATAACAACTTTGTTTTAACACACTTGGGTCAGACTTGTCGTTACCACAACCCCTCAAGCTCCACGTTGGGTGCCAAAAAGGACTGCCGTGGTTCAGCCCCAGGCGGCAGCTGAGGACCACCAGGCTGCTCGCTCACCGCTCCCCCGGCAGGATGGGGAGGAGAATGGAAAAACAAAGGCAAAGCCTCATGGGTTGGGATAAGGACAGTTTACTGGGAGGGCCAGGGAGAGGGAAACAATCAGCAACAGTACTGATAAGGGAATGTTCACAATGGGTGATAACAGAAAGTAATTTACAGATCCCATAACCAACTGACCAGACGCTCAGCCCACACCCACACCATCCCATCCATCCCGGAGCTGTACAGAACCCACCCCTCCCCGACTAGCCCCCTTTTATGGTGAGAATGACATCACATGGTATGGAATAGCCCCCTGGCCAGCTTGGCTCAGGTGTCCTGGCTCCTTGTGAAATTAACTCAATGCTAGGCAGAACGAGGACATTCTGAAACATACCTTCCTATTAAATTTTCTTGAACTCATCTGGAAATATAAATTATCTGGTATTAACACTTTAGGGTAGGTGTTACAGTCCCATCACTTGCACATAAACTCTTGAACTCGTATGGAAACACTCCTGACATAACTGCTGCATTTACTCTCTACTGAAGAATGTGCTGATTTTAATTGATGGGGTTTAGCAGGTGTTTTCTATTTTCCAACTTCATGGATAAATATAGAGTAAATATTCAATATTGACACTTCTAATTTAATGAGCATTAGAATTATTCTTTGAAGGAAGTAACATCTAAGAAAATGAGAAGTGGCTTAATGAGGGTAATATTTTTATAACTTGGTCAAGTACAACTAATTTAGTAATGTTTATTTCCTTAACAGAGCTAGAAATTTGTGTAGAGCTTCTCTTATATTCCTGTTCTACTAAAATAACAATCTTAGCAGTGTACTGCTAACAGCATCTAGTTAATTCTTTGAAAATAGAGCCTTTCAAAGTGCTGATGTACTTATCACAGTATTTCAAACTTTAACACTGCTACTAGTCCATATTTATATAACTGATTTTTTAAAAAATCAAGGGTTAAGAGGTTCTCAGTATTTGGAAAGCAAATACCTGCCTCTCATATTATAATCAGGAGTGTAATTTGAGACACTAAAGCTTTAAAAATATGACTGATATTCTAACTCTTCATAGATGACCCCATTGTTACTGAGTGTATTTGGATTGCTCATTACTTTCTGAAGTTATACTTAAAAAATCTGAATATGCAATATGTTAAGAATTTATACTGCTTATGCTGTATACCTTTCTAGAATACAGTATTTGATATTAAGTATACTACTGATGAAGCAGTAATGTCATGCAAGGTAGGTAGACCTTGGTTTTGATATGCCTATGATAATTTTTTTTAGGATCTCAGTAAAATTACATTTATATACTGTTTTCAAAGTGTATAAACTTTTAAGATTTAGGCACTGATGCTGTTGGCAGATCAGAAAGGAGCTGTCAAAAGACAGGGAATCATATTAGAACCATAAGGTCTATGTTGTATGGGCACACTTTGCATATGGCTTAAGTAAAAAGTTTACTGTAGCAGAAAAGAATTGCTGAACTAATAGAATACTATTTATATTAGGAATATAGTAACATGTAAATATTTTGAAGGACCTAGTTCCAGCATTGCTTCTTAACTTCCTTCACCTCAACAGAGCAGTTAGTTTGTTAAATTGTGAAAATATTGTTGTGTCAAGATACTTATTTGAGGCATACCAGCTACTGACTAATTCACTGAGGATGTTGTGGAGGTGATTTGTTTCAGTTGGATCATACTGATCGCTGAAATTACAATTAATTTCTGAATCGCATTTTGTCACCTACATCCAGTGCTGCCCACGGAGAATGCTGCCTCTATGTGATTACATATATATGTAGTTATATAACTGAGGCAAAAAACTATGCTGAACAAAGGCCTGGTAAGACCTTTTTCTCAAGCCTAGAAAAAAGCACAAAGCTACTGCAAAATTAAACAAGGTTTGAAAATGAGGCATCAAGGAAAAATGGAAAGTTTAATAATTTTTTTCCAAAAACTTAGTTTCTAAATGAAAATACTAAATTTCAAAACATCTGATCAGCTGCAGTGATAAAACCAAAATACAAAAAGTCATTTAACATGGGGTAAGTTCATTTGTAAATCATATTTAAATATTGTATTGTTAAAAAAAAAAAAGCAATGATTAACTTGTTGAAATTGTAATTTAATTTGACTGTCATGGCTACCTTTAAGAATGTAAGCTGTTCGTAACATGATGAGAAATGAATACTAATGAAAGGTAATAGGTGTTAGACCTACTCTTATTCATAAGTGCTACTGTAGCTGTCAATGCATTTTAAAGCATGATGACATGGTTTTCAAATGTACAAAGAACTTCCTCTTTTTCTCGCAGTATTGTGTGCATTTAATGTTTTTAAGAAAATTGTCCAATGAGTGTTCAAGTTGGGTAAAATGCTACATGTTATCACACCTATTATCACTGGTGTTTTTTTCTCACATTAAATTGAAGTGGGCTTGCATGTTCATTTCCAGCTTTCCCTTCATGTACACATTTTTCTGAGTTGATGTTTCATATTTATTTTCATTTTCCTTTAATTTCTTCCTCTTCAGGTGCAATCTAGCTCCTGTGGTGGAGTTTGCTGCCGATGTGGGAACTAAATCTGATTTTATTACCATGAATCCATCAGTTGTACAAAGAGCATTTGGAGGCTTTCGGAATGAGAGTGACAGAGAAAAATTTGTGCATAGACTATCGATGCTGAATGACAGTGTCCTTTGGATCCCTGCTTTCATGGTCAAAGGCGGAGAGAAGCATGTGGAGTGGGTTAATGCATTAATCCTTAAGAATAAATTGAAAGTGCGAACCGCCTATCCATCACTGAGACTTATTCATGCTGTCAGAGGGTAAGTGTCTGGAAAAGACTGGTCTGTCCTTGGCGCAATGAAGCTCATAACTAGAATTCCTAGCAGGCAGAAAAAAGCTCAAGTAAAATGTTAAAAGGAGCATGATATTTCCATTATTGTTGTAATGGATTACATTTATGATAAAATAAGTTTGTTTGGTAAAAAATGTCGTCCACTCTTTTAGCCTGCAAACAACTGAAATGCCTTAGCACAATAACTTTTCACTTTTATGTACAAATCTTTTTATGATCAGTATAGTGATAAATTAATTAAAAATAGTGTGAATTCAAACTATTATCTGTGAGTCATCAAATCAGAGGACGATGAAAGTGCTACATGTCATCTTTTGGGGAAGACAATGGAGATAAAAAATATAATTTAAATAGCATGGGGGTAGGATAACAACCCTGTAAACAGTGAAGTCTGGCAGATCTGAAAATAATAATCTCTCTCCTAAAATGTCTAGGATTTTGTAGCAATCTTTCATAGCAATCTTTCTCCTTTTGAATTTGGCCAGATGCTTGGACAATTCAGAAACATTGGTCAGAATCACTGAAAACATTAATGTAACCAGTTGTTAAAAAAAAAAAATTGCATCCATGCTTTGTGCAGACTTTTTTCCCAACCCCTTAATTAAACAAGACTGTCAGATGAGGGCTCCAATGTCTTTGTCACTACAAGAGTATATATATATTAATACTGTAGTATACTATACTTCTGAATATGCTTTTATCCTTCTGCCATGTCTCAAATAGATTAACTGCTGTGTTCTTCATGCGGTACACTTTTGGCACTAGGAAAAAAAAAGGTTCCCTTTGGAATTTGGAAATCCTTTAACTTATTTACTGAGTTGCTCAGTTTCTATAGTTGTTTGGATAGTTTTTTTATTATACAGTTACACTTTAGCTATTTATGGGTCTTGATTGTATTAAATTTTCAAGTATGCAGAATGCCTATAACACAGGGATAGGTGTAGTGGGTTTGCGTGTGTGTATAAATCTGAACAAATTATTACTTCCAGTTTACAAACAGCTGTTCTCATTTCCATCTCCAAAATCTGAGCAAAATTGTCAAGTGTGGATGGTAATATATGATCTTTCAGTTGGCCAATTTGAAGTTCCTTTAGAGGCCTTTGTCCTAAAAAAATTAGCACCTATGTTGTCTCTCTGAAAGAAAGGCAAAAAAAGCTCTGACATCAGAATTGCTTTTGAAAATTTAGACTATACTGTATTTCAGATTATACCTACCAGTATCATCTGATATGACTGTACCAATTTGTCAGGTTGTTGAATCTGTGCTCAAAACTGTAAACCTTGTTGTTTAATCACCTCACTTTCTCCTTCTTGTTCTTGTGGGAAGTAGCTGAATATCATCACATACTCTTTACTCTTCTTTTTTGTAATTTGCATAAGAACAAAACAAGAAGTCAAATTTATCTTTTGTCTAACTATTGATTTTATGAAGTGAGGTGCATGAGGTGAATATGTCTTTGTGAGTCAAGTTTGGAAGTGATAGAGTTAGCAGTAATATATTTGGAACAAATATTCTTTAATTTCTTAGAAGGCAGTCTTAAAACACCAGCCCATAAAAATGAGGTCTGTATTACAGTGAAGTTAAATCTAGAGAAATAATATCATCTCTTTACAGGTTGAATTATATCTCTTTAAGATTTGTTAGGTTTATGTGCCAAATGGAATACCACAGTATTATAAGAAAATAAAAAGCAAAACCTGTTCTTAAAGTGTGCCTGAGCTTAAAAAAACCCCAACTTTCTACAAATTAGTAAAGTAACTTGAAAAATAAAGTAAAATTCAAAGCTTCATAACTTGATTGTCAAATCAGTCCATTTCAAGCAGTAAAACTTATGAAAGTTTAAGCAAGTTACAACTGCTAACTTCAGTTTTAAACTAATGGACAGCTACTTAAAACTGTGTGTGCAACTTACATACTTAGTTTTAAGGAAGGTCTTCATAATACTGTATTCTGTCTATTGTGCTCATGTTTATTTCAAATTCAATGTAAACTGATGATTTATGAGCCTCTGAAGAGATTACCTAAAAGGAACTCCTATAAAACACTCATTGCTTTATGAATATGAACTATTTTTTTGCATTTGTTTTGATATATTTGATATATTTCTTTGTATATTTGATTCTTTTGCAAACTCTCTGCTTGCAAGTTTAAGTCTTTGTGACCATGTGATGACCTAGTGGAGACCTGTGGTGCTGCCAAACAGGATAAAATAAACAAGGTTGCTATTGAATGAGAAGTGAAAACAGGAAATCTAACCACAAAACCTGCATGTTAAAAAACACAGTAAGATCTGTGCAGAGCATTTAATCTCCTTCATAGGGTGCCTGCAAGGCTTATGTGACGTCTTTCAGTCTCTCAAGCCGTAAGAGGGAGATGAAGTTTGATTTATTGATGAAAGCATGATAAAGAAAGCGGAACTGCAAGAAGTGTTTTTTTGTACGCTGTCTTACTTTACACAAGGAAACTACATGTATCTGCAGCCTTTGTTTTGTGGACTGTGAGCATTGTCAAATAGTTATACCTTTGTGCTCGAATGTAGCACAGTGATTTTCATTAAAGGCTAAAAGTGTAGAGCAGACACATGGGAATGTAGCATTTGCAGTCACTGTCCTCTATTAATATTTGTAAAATCTCCAAAATCCTGTTAACTTTCATACAGGTAAGCATTCACTTCTTTTGTTTCTGGTTTCTTGCCTTGATAATTCCAACGCATTCTGGCTTTACTCTTTATTTGAGTATGCATATTTTGCATTAAATAATAGTTTATATGAAGGTAGTTAGAGCTGTTTTAAATTATACTTTAATGAGAGAATCCGGCAAGAGTCAGTGTGGGTCTTATGTTATCTTTTTGTATCTTGAAACCCTCCCAAATGCGTAACAACTTAAACACAATGAGATTTTTGTTAGACCATGCCAAAGACATAATACCAGGAGGGTCTGCTGAAGAACTGTTCCTTAACCTGAAAACATATTCCCATGGAGATGAATAAAAGATGCAATTTTATGTTTAATAACCTAAAACATTCCATGAAGCTGTTTTGTAAGTCTTACACACCTGTGCTGTTTTTCCTATATACCTGTGAATATGGTATATAGATATACCTGTGGATGTGGTATACTACGACGCTATAACATATCCATACCATTCAGCTGGTTGAAATGAGGATCTTATTTGAAACTTTAACGTATTGTATTGCAACTACAGATTTTCAAAATCTAAAAATATTGAACAGTCTGATACAGACCTGCAAAGTGCCTAAAAAGAGAAGATGTCTATCCTAAAAAGTTACAATTTTAAAGTCTTCTTTTTTTTTTTTTTGAAGAACAAATTCCCAGTGTAAATTTAAAATTATATCAAGTGTTCTTTGATTGAATGCACCTAAAATTTTATTTAAAATATGGAAATGCATTGTATTGTGGGCTAAATAATTTAGTAACTAATCATCAATGAAGTTCATAATTCCAACCTGACAAATTAAGTACTAATAGAGACATTTATTGCTGAAGGGTGCACACAGATGGCCACAAGATTTGGAAAGTATTGTCTCTACTCCTTTTTGTGTGTATCACACTGCCAAATCATTCAGGCAAATTAGGGTTTTTTCCTTCATTATTTTTTAAAGCTTAAGGCACAGGCAGTTTCTAAAGAGAACATTAACTTTCTTAGACTTCTGTTCTAATCTAGTGAGCGCAAATGCTCTAGTCCTCTGTACTGTTTCACATAATAGCAGGGCAGTTTTGCTACAATCACATTCCACACTGAAATTCTCTCTCCTATTGTGCTTCTTTTTTAATGAAAGAAACTTTCTGAACTTTTCTGAGTATCTGGGAGATGCTGTTGATCAGATAGTAGAATAATGATTGCATTCTGAGATTTTTTAAAATTTTTTTTTCCTGTCCATTTGTGCTCTTTTGGGGTCATAAAAAAGGTAATATGGTGTTTGAAAAAGAAATTGCTTTTTTTGCAGATTTCATGCCTTATTAAACTTCTGTGAGTGATGGCCACTCCTCTAAAATCTCAGAGGGATTCAAAGTTTTTGGAACAGATTATGTAAAGTAGTAGTCCAACAGTAGTCCAACATGACTACTTTTTATAGTAGCATATCTTAAATGGCAGTTGGATTCAGATTTTTTACTTCAGTAGATTTAGATTAAGTGATAATTTATTTTCTCTATTTTGCTTTTGTACGTCTTGATCAACAAGTTTTGTATTTCAAGTTAGAATACTGAATTTGGAAAGTGCACGATTTTTTGCACGATTTTTTCATGAAGTGTTTCTAAAAGCTGTTTTATGGAACTTTATTATAATTTTGCACACATTATTGACAAAATAATTGAGTTCTGACCAGAGTTCAACATGGAACTAGAATCTATAAATGAAGAGCTTAACTAATTAAAAGGATTTATTTGCTTTCTAATGCCACTGCCAGGAAGGTTAAAGTAATTATAATGAGCAAACCTCATAATTTTTTTAAATTTAATTTAACAACAAATTTCAGAAAATCTGGATTTATTAATATGCTCAAGATTAATGCTGAACTCTTTCATTAGGATTATTTTTAAAAGTATTTTCCAGGTGAGATGATACTCTTTGAGGTGTGGACAGTATCTGTATAGAGTCTGGTCTCAGTATCAGAGCTTGAATGGAATATGCATTAACAGTTGGCAAACAGGAACTGAGCCTGCTGGGATTAGTCTCTAGATCTTGTTGTTTACTTCCAGTGGTGGCAGACAACCAACCTGAAAGTAAGATCAGCAGATGCTTTATGCTATGGATCCTGCCTTACAGTTCCCTGGAGGGAGTAGAGATGGCTCCTGAGACTAAGCATGTTGTTGGTATATTAGGTGGAGGCCAGAGTTAACTCCCAGAGCCTTGCACAGCTGCTCTTCTCCTGATTCTGCTGGCAAATATCTGAAGACATCTGCTGAAGAGGCAGAACACCACCACTCCCCCACCCCGCCAAGCA